GTTAGGCCCAAGGGACAGTGGCTGGCCGTCTTTCTCCCACTTTAATGTCGGCGGGGGGATGCCAGAAACTCTGATCTCAAAGCAGACACTTTGGCCTTCTTGGCATTCTGCATTTGCCAGGAGCCGTTTGAACATGGGTCTTAAGGTTGTGTCTGTTGGAGGTGGGTGTGGTGTTACCGTCAACTTGGCTTTGCAGCTGTCCTCACCATATTTGTTCTTTGCCACCACGGTGTATTCAGCATCATCGTCTGTTGTTACACTGTTAATGGTTAATTGGTAAAGGCCCTTGTCAGACTCAAATGTGTACTTCTTGTCGTCATCGTCTGGTTTGATTTTCTGACCTGATTTATACCATGTTACACGAGGCTCTGGGTGGACGGTTATAGTCACTCCAAACCGGACATTTTCACCCACATAAGCTGTCCTGTTATAGAGAGGCAGGGTAAATTCTGGCGGCCTTTCCAGGAGTCTCATGGTGTCTGTTCTGCGCTTAATTTTCTTCATGGTTCGACGGAAGTAATAGTCATAAACTTCTCTCACGCCTTTAACAAATAGCTCTGCGTAAGAACTGTCTTCACCGTAGTCATTGACTACTTTGCATCTATAGGTACCGTCATCGAATTTGGTAATGTCTTTGATGTAAATGGTAGCCACTCCATCTTCATAGGTGATTTCATATTTCTCACTGCTCTCCAGCTGCCTGACACCAAAGTACCAGGTCACTTGGGTAGACTGGTCATAATTTTCAATTTTGCAGACATATTTGACATATCCTCCTTCTTCGCCAACTGCATGCATTATCTGTCCAGAGATTGGGCCAATTTCAATGGATGCTACTTTAACTTTAGCGACACTCACTCCCCTCTGAGACCGAATCGCACCGCCACAGGAGATCCGGGCTGCTGACACGACCATGTTGAGGTCTTTCTTGATCAGAGTGTGGTAGTAACGCCGGTGTTTTAATGTTCTGATAACTTTAGTCCTGATTCTTTCTGTCTTCTGCTTCAGCCATGGGTGCTGGAGTGCTTCAGATGCTGTCATGCGAGATTTTCTGTCTTTCACTAAGAGGCAGTCAACAAAATCCATGGCTTCGAGGCTGATGTCTTTGAATGCCTCCTCATCAAAAGTATACTCAGCGTTCATGATGTTCTCAATGATCTGCTGGTTAGTTTCAGCCAAGAATGGGTTGATACCACTCAACAGCACATACACCAGTGTTCCAAGTGACCACATGTCTGTGGCTGTGCTGACGACATCATGCTGGTGGACTTCAGGTGCATAGTATTCAGGGGCAGTGAACAGAAGCCTAAAGTTGTCCCCTGGTGTCAGCTGACGGGCTTGACCAAATTCTATGATTTTAATGACAGAGCTCCTTCTTGTTTGGTAGATGATATTTTCTGGTCTAATGTCAAAATGTCCAATGTTATGACTGTGTAAGAACTCAAGAGCTTCGCAGACCTGGCGAACATAACTTACAATTTCTCTTTCATTAAGTTCAAAAGCACTTGTGTTAATGCGTTCAAATATGTCAAGTCCTGATATGAACTCAAAGATCATCACCAATTCCTCCATGCTTTCAAATGATTCATGGAGGTATAAGATGTTTCTGTGCCTAGCGATATTTAGAATGGAAATTTCCTTCTTTACCAAAACCTGATCGGTCCCTTTGACTTTAACAAATTTAGCCATGTATGTCTTTTTTGAGGATGTTTCAACACAACGGTGGACGATTCCAAACTGACCACGCCCAAGGTCTTCAGCAATCATATATTTCTCATAGAGTTCTTTGGTTGAAGAGTGAGAAGCTTTAGTCATGGAAACTTCCATGGTTTCATCTACTTCTTCATCATAGTTCATAACTCTGGTCTTATCTTCTTTGGTTATGGTTGGTTCTGAGGGCTCAGAAGGCTTGCTCAGGCCAAATTTATTTTCAGCGATTACACGGAACTGGTAACTTGTTTTTCCAAATAAGTTGATCACAGTGTAACGCGTTTCTCGGGCCTGCCCTACCCGGAGCCACCTTTCTGCAGTAGTGGCACATTTTTCAATAATGTAGTTGGTGATTTTGCTGCCACCGTCAGAAGCTGGCTCAGTCCAGGTTAAGTTGACAGAATCTCGTGAGACGTCACTAACTTTGACTCCTCTGGGTGGGTCAGGAACATCAGCCACATCCAGTTCAACTGTCTTCTGATCAATTCCAAACCTGTTTTTAGCACAGACCACATAGAAACCAGCATCTTTTCTCTCCACTCCGTTGGAGAAAACAAGTGATGTGAACGATCTTGTGACGATAACTTGGTAGTGGCCATTGTTGTCGATGAGATCTTGTCCTTTCTGCCATGTGATAACGGGGTCTGGTTTGCCACTGAAGGGGATCTTGATGCTGACCACCTCACCTCGGAGAGCATGAACAGCTCCCATGCCTTCAAGGGTTTTAGGCAAGTGTATCTTAGCCGGAACTGTATCAGAATAGAAGGAAAAAGAATATAATTTAGCAATACCCAACACTATGTAAGTGCAACAGCCCCCTTCCAATTAAAAATGCATCATCTAGCATCAAACTTAGGTTTACTAATTTGTTTTTACCTTCCACTTCCAAGGAGGCAGTGCCAGACACAGATCCCCCTTGGTTGGTGGCTCTGACTTGGTAAACCGTAGCATCATCATCCGTGACACTTGCAATAATGAGCTGATGGTAGCCACCCTTGAACTCTTGAATCCTGTACTTTAATCCATCTGCAATGATTTCTTTGCCTTGTCTGTACCATTTCACAACAGGTTTTGGATGGCCAGTCACTTTGCAGACCAAAGTAGCATTGCTCTGATATCTGACATTTAGATTTCTTAGTTCCTCTTTGAAGTGTGGTGCCTGAATTGGAACATCAGATTTGGGAGTAACAGGTTCCGATATTTCACTCCATTCGCTTTCCCCACCTAGGTTTTCGCACTTCACACGGAACTCATATTCAAGACCTTCAATCAGGTTTTTCACTGAGAAGACAGTTTCTCGGATTTCTTCTGTTGTCACTGCAATCCATTTATTCTGCTTCTTCTCCCGCTTCTCGAGGTAGTAATTTCTAACCTTTGCACCACCGTCACTGGCCGGTGGCTTCCAAGCCACAACACAAGACTCTTTCGTGATAGCAGTAATGGTGGGCTTGCCTGGAGCACTCGGCTTTTCTGTTTAAAACAAACAGATAAAAAGGATTTGAGTCATGAGGTGAAATGCACAGCTTTGTTAAAAGCTTATTTTTGAAAAATAAAGTGTTATGAATGAACAGCTTTATTAAGAATAGCTGCTATTCCAAAAAAATGGATTGATTATTTTGTGCTAAAAAGTTATCAAAACACAAAGTTCCCTTTTAAAGGAGAAGGGATAGGGCACATACAGGAGTGATCAAAAGCAGGTTTACAGCTGTACATACACAAAACAGAGTTTCTTCTTATATTTTTACTTATGAATTATGTTTTTTCCAAACACCTGTAAACTGACTTTCGCCATCCCATGTTCGCCCTTTTAGTTATGCGCAAACTCAGTTGAAGCGACAGAAATGGTTTTCGTGCTTTACCTGAATCTTTGCTCTTTCCTTCCAAAATTTATTTCTGTTGCAAAGAGTTTGATGTAATGATATTTTTGTGTAAGGAGTTTTTGCCATGTGAAAATTATAGAGGTTGTGCAAGAGGCTGTACTCACCAAATGGACTCTTAATGATCACTACTGAGGACACCTCCAGAGGTTCACTGATGCCAAAAGTGTTTTGAGCTGACACCCGGAAGTAGTAGCCAGCATTTTCTGTGAGGTTCACAATCCTGCAGGTCGTCACCGAGATGGCTGAAGACACCAATTGCCATTCAGCCCCTTCCTTGGCCTCGCATTTCTCCACCACATAATTGGTGATCCAGGAGCCTCCATCGTCTGCCGGTGGCTGCCAGCTGATCACTACCGAGTTCTTTAATAGAGCTTCAATCACGATGGGTCCTGTGGGTTTGTCTGGTTTATCTGTTGGGGGAAAATACAACAGTAGCGGTTTCTTTTGTGTGTCTCCCAAGATCTTTTTCGCTTTGAAAATTTAAAAAACAAACCAACCAACAACACTGAAAGTGAAACTAAAGTACCTTGTATTTCCACATCAAGGATGGCATCAACGGTTCCGAAAGCATTGCTGAGCTGAACTTTGTATTTGCCAGCATGAGTCTTACGTTGGACATTCTTCATGACAAGATGAGTGTAGTGCTCAGTGTTTTCAATACTGGTGTTTTCTGTGTTTTGCATAAGTTTCTGGCCATGGAACCACGTGATGGCAGGTACTGGGCGACCGATGTACATGACATGAAGTCGAAGTGTGGAACCCACAGCACCGTAATATTTCTCTTTTAGTGGGTAACCAGGATGGAACTGCGGTGTTGCTTGCAGGAGAAGCTTACTACTGGTTTCTACCTCTCCAACCTCATTAGTAGCTATGCAGGTATAAACACCTTCATCTTCTTGTTCCTCTGTCATTACTGTCAGGGTGTGTGTGCGCCCATCTGAAGACATTTTGTACTTCCGGCTTTGTACAAGCTCCTTACCAAATCGGTACCACTTAATGTCAGGAAGAGGCCTTCCAAGGATCTGGCAGGAGAGTTGAGCAGCTTCACCCAATTTGGTAGTAACATCCTTCATTTCCAAGCGTACTCCTGGGGCCTCTCCAGCTGAAGGATGTGAAAGATAGTATTAATGCATTATTCTTACACAGATTTGATAACCTTCTGTTCTTGCATACCAGGAGTGAATTTATCCTACTGACTAAGACTTTATTAGAACCATGATTTACCTGAGTGTAATTCTCAAAATCTCTTTGCAGTGATTTTCCTGGGGTCATATGGAAAACAGGGATTCAGCGAGTGCCTTGCTCTGCAGAGTGATTTCTCTTTATGGTTGGGAGGCATTGACAATGTATAGAGTTTGGGGGAAATAGGAATTCTCTCTATAAATGTGTAGTATCTTTGTCTTTCCTTAGGATCACTGAAGTGGGGTACATTTGTTTGACCCTTGAAGTCCTATTAGTAACTGCAAAAAGCCCCACTGCAATCGAAGAAGAAGATGCGCTAGGAACGCCTCAGTGCACTGCAGCTCACATCGTCTGAGGCTAAGTGCTTGGAGTGGCTTCCTGTGGAACCTATCCACTACTCCTTGTGTGTGCGTATGCCAAAGTGAGCGACTCTTTCCAAACACTAGTTCACCGATAAAGCTTTCTGGAGATCTACTTTGTATAGAGGAAGGCTCAGCCCTATAACATGTTACTTAGTTCGTAAATCATGACCAGAGACCTAACAGCTACTTACATGTCAGTTTTGTCTTTACAGACATAGCAGTTCTTCGAGGTCTGCTAAGCCCAGCCTCGTTCTCAGCGAAAACCCTGAATTCATATTCAGTAGCTTCCAGCAAACCCCCTATTGTGAACTGCCTGTCCTTGATGCGGTCCTTGTTGCTCTTCTTCCAGGCACTGTCCCCAGATTGTCTATATTCAATCCAGTACCCAAGGATGTCTTTGCCACCATCACACTCAGGTTTCTCCCACTGCAGAGTGACACTGTCTTTGGATATTGAAAGAATCTCCAGTTCTCCAGGTTGGCTTGGCCTATCTGAAATATTTTAAAAAACAATGGAAAAGGGAATCAGCTGTACTGCTGAAATAAAAGAAAAGGACCAGAGATGGCTTGCCGTTTCACTTATAACCCCTTCAGAAATTCTCTCCTTACCAAATGGATCTTTGCAAATAACTGGTTCCGAAGCTGGGCTGCTCTCACTTAGGCCAACATCATTCTGGGCAATGATGCGGAACTGATACTCAGCATCCGAAACCAGCCCCGTGACAGTGTACATTGTGGTCGTTATCTGAGTCTTGTTGTGCCGGACCCACTTGTCTGTTGATGTCTCCTTGCGTTCGATGTAGTAGCCCGTGACTCGGGAACCACCGTCGTCTTTGGGCCGAGACCAGGACAGGCTGACAGAACTCTTGGTCACATCAAGTACTTCTGGAGGATTGCTCGGAGGCTCTGGGGGATCTAAGGATATATGTGGAGAACACACATGTGTTAGTGCACAGCCCCAGACTTTGTGAGCTGATAGCTTTCGCTTTGAAACCGAAGAGGGCTGGAAGAATTTTTGCAATGCTGTGGTTGGGAGAGCACTTACTTAGTGGTGTTTTTGGTATGACTGGTTCCTCAGATTTCAAGGGTTTGCTTATGCCAAACTGGTTTTCTGCTGAAACACGGAAATGGTATTCCACATTTTCTTTGAGGCCTTTTACCACCAGGGATGTTCCTCGGACTCTGGAGTCAATGGTGTACCAGGCGGCTTTAGGCACTTCTCGTCTCTCAAGGATGTAGCCCAAGATGTCGGCACCACCGTCATCGGCAGGGGGTCTCCAGCTGACCCTGACAGAGCGAGCTTGTATGTCATCATATTCAAGTGGCCCTTCTGGAGTGTTGGGGCTTCCTATCACCCTGACCTTGATGTAAACAGCCTTCTTGCCACATTTGTTTTCCAGAACCAGGTCATAAGTGCCAGAATCGTCCCTGACCGCTTCTTTGATTACAAGCTCGGTGTGGGTTTCAGAGGTTGCAATCATGGCACGCTTACTGATATCTTGGCCTTCTTTGGTCCATTTACATATTGGGTATGGTTTTCCTTTGATTGGAATGGTAAGTCTGATGACTCCACCTTGTCTTACAAAGATACCCTCCTGGTATCTTTCATCAAGTTCATAATCAGGATATTCTGGGGTGGAAAAGGCAGGGTTACAAGTTAAATTAACTTTCTCTTTTAAAGGAGGAAATAAGTCTTAAGGCAATTATAGCAGAAAGAAAATGACTATGTCTTACCAAGCATTTCGGTGACCTTGACTGTTCCTGGTACCTCAGCAGGCTCCCCGGGGCCACCGGCGTTACACGCTAGGACACGGAATCTGTACTCAGCGCCCTGAGGTAGATGTGTTAGAGTATATTCCCGAATCTTGGTGGGGGTGGTGTTACATTTGGTCCATTCAACTTGATCTACTTTTTGCATTTCAATCAAGTAGCCCGTGACTTTAGATCCTCCTTCATCTTCTGGAACGCTCCAGGCCAGGGAAACTGATGTCCTTGTTGTATCAGTAACTCTCGGGTTTTGTGGCTTTCCTGGAGGAGCTGGGAATAAGAATAAGGCAACAACAAACGTGTTGAGGTTGCTGCAAAATTGAAAATCAACTGTGTCACCTAATCCCTTGAGTTGTGGGAACATGGATGGTCAGCATTATTTTTTTGTTTTGTAAAACTTTCATTCATTCTATAATTTAAAAATACTTACAGCTCTTGTTTTTTCCCTTTGTCTTAACTATGCATTAATTACAGTCACTACTACTCTTCCATGTGTCATCAGTTTTTAAAGTGCTATAAAAAATATTGTTTAAAAATTTTAGCTGGAGTCCCATTTTACAGAGCGGGGAATAGGCTCAGGAGAAGACAAGCTCCTCAAGGCCGGGAGTAGGGAGGGGATCAATGACAAAGGGAGACAAGGGAACTTTTTGGGCTGATGGAAATGTTCAGCATTTTGATGGTGGTGGTGTTTATACAACACTGCAGCTTTCAAAGCTTACAGACGTAGACATTTCAGAAGGATAAACTTATATCTCAATAAACTTGACTTATACAAAGTGCATTACCAATTGGATCCATGGCAACGATGGGTTTGGAAGGACGACCTGGTTTTCCAGTCCCTCTCATGTTAATGGCCGTGACACGGTGTTCATATTCTAAACCTTCAATAAGGCCAGTGGAACGGTACCGTGTCATCGTCACTGGTACTTTATTCACACGGACCCATCGATCTGCTCTCACTTCTTTGCGCTCCACAATGTACCCGGTCACTTGGGAGCCACCATCGTCTTCCGGTGGATACCAAGTAAGTGTCATGCCATCACGGGAGACGTCAAATATCTGTAATGTTTCTGGAGGTCCAGGAATATCTGCAACAAGACAGAGGTGAAATGTGGCAATATGAATAACTGAAAATAAAGACTCATGATGGTACATGAGATTCCTGTGACTATTTTTCCATTGTTTTCATTTCTGTACTTTTCTTGCTGTTCCTTATGTTCTTTAACTTTATAAGCATTTATTAAGCATGCATTCTTTGTTTTTTCTCACTTTAACATAGCCAGTCTGTGCTTCCTCCCCTCCCCCCTTCCTTTCCTCTAACTCCTCCTCTCTTTCATTAAAAAAAAAAAAGAAAAAAGAATTAACCATGTTGAAAACCTCCAAGAAAAGGTTTAAAAACCTTAGAGAGACCCTGGGTTAATTTTTTCACCTATTTTTACGTACATCAGGGTATATGAAAAACACATTTGTTCTTGTCCACCTTCCGAATCAGAGGTGGGGAGAGTGGAGGAAGGGCCCAAGGACTTACTGATGCTGCTGCGACATTCAATGACCTCAGACTGCAAGTAGGAGCCGATCCCGAAGCGGTTTGTTGCAGCCACACGGAACACATACTCATTCCCTTCAGTGAGTCTGGTAAACTTAAACATCGTTCTGGTCACGGATTCAGACACCGGCAGCCACCCTGGACGGTGGGCGTCACGTTGTTCTACCACATAACCACTCAGTGGGGCCCCACCGTCCAATTCAGGTGGTTCCCAGGAAATGGCGACTGAAGTAGCATCGATTTCATCAATCTTGATAGGCCCAGTTGGTGGACCGGGCTTGTCTATAAATGAAAAGGGAAGCCAGGCAATTAATTTTCAGTGCAAATCAGAATTGGGTGACTGAGCGTCAACAACTTGCATGTGTCTTTGCTGCATATCCTTACCCAGAATGATAACTTTAATGGTCTCTGAAGTAGTTCCAGTTACATTTTTCAATTCAAGTGTATATTCCCCGGTATCTCTGATAGTGGTTTCACGGATGGTTAATTTCACTACTTTCATATGGGTTTCAACTGTGACACGCTCTGATTCTTTCAGTTTGGAACCAGCAAAGAACCAGGAAGCAGCAGGAGGTGGACGGCCAGCAATAGGTATCACCAGCTCCACGGGTCTGCCGGCTGGGACGTGGATGGTCCTTTGAGGCATTGTGGAAAGATCAATTGTGGGCAACACTGTGGGAAAGAAATCAGGCATTTATTCTTAAGCATGATTTCTGATGACACAGTTGCATGAGTTCTGAATGTTTTCTTCATTTTACTTTACTATTATTGTTAATTTTTGGCAATTTGGTACATACCTCTGAGGTCTTGTACAGTCACGGCTGTGACGATCTCTCTGGCTTCTGACACGCCTTTCTCGTTTTGTGCCCTGACCCTGAATAAGTACTCTTCACCTTCATTGAGGGAGATAACAGTGTGCTCTAGGACTGTGGGCTTTAAGGTGACGACCTTCATCCATCTCTCGGTGCCAGCTCTGCAGGCCTCAAGGACATAACCAGTGAGTCGGCTCCCACCATCGTAGAGTGGTTTTTCCCAGGCAAGGGTGACAGTTGATTTGGTGACATCGACCACTTCCAGTTTTGTAGGCACCAAAGGCACCTCTGAGACCAGGACGGCATCAGATGTCTCGCAGGGCTCTCCAATGCCGTAAATATTTTCTGGCAACACTCTGAAATAGTACATGGTTCCTTCCACAAGCCCAGAAATCCGGTAGAGTGTCTTGCTGCACTTGGTGGTTACTGTTTTGAACGCTCTCATGGCGGCTTCACGCTTCTCCACAATGTAGTTGTTCACAGGAGCTCCACCATCGATTGTGGGGATTTCCCAGGTAATGGTCACAGAATCTCTCGATACTTCCTTAACTGTCACTGAGGGACAGGGACCAGGAGTATCTAAAAGGTAGAAGGAGAGATCCATACTTCATATTTGCCCGATTCACTGATAGTTTTTTTCTGAGGAAAATATATTCAACGTAGTTCCTCTCTAGAGAGGTCACTAATCATAGGCGAAGGTGTGTCTTTTTAGAGAATCTACTCACAGTGTCATTAATTTTCAAATACTTACCGTACACCTTAACCAGGACTGTTGCCGATTTCTTGCCTGACTGATTTTCGGCTTCAATGGTGTATTTCCCAGCATCGTACCGGTTGACTTTGTCCACGATGAGTAAAGAGTAGCTCTCGGTGGTGTCAATGATTGCCCGGTTTGCAAGGTCGATGCCCTTCTTGCTCCACGTTATGACAGGAGGTGGCCTTCCGGACACTGACACCATCAGGCGCAGTGAGGCCCCAGCTCGGATTGTCACTGTCTTCTTTAAATCATCCGCAAGCTCCAGATCTGGTATTTCTGGAAAGTAAATGTCACAGTTTAATTAGTTCATGAACAGATGTGATGAGAAAATAATTCACCTGAACACTTATATGATAAATACCTAGTCTTTCCACAGGCTCGATTTCGGCAGTGGACTCGCTGTATTCACTCATACCCTTCACGTTCACGGCAGCGACTCTGAAGGAGTACTTCTGGCCCATTTTCAGGTCTGTCACAGTGAATTCAGCATTTCTTATTGTGGCATTGGTATGCACTCGGTACCACTGATCAGTGTCCTTCTCTTGCATCTCCAGCACGTAGCCTATGATGTCAGTGCCGCCATCGTACATGGGCTTGGTCCAGGCCAAACTGATGCTGTGCTTGGTGGTGTCTACAACTCTCGGAGCAGAAGGTGGTCCAGGGGTATCTGTGGAATTTCAAAAGGGGAGTGCATATATTAAGCAAAAAAGAAAACTTTAAGATTTGTAGTTTGGGTTTTTAAGAGTCACAAAGGTTATTGTTTTTTGTCCATACCCACCAAGATAATCTTTGTAACTGGCCTCTTCTGATATTCCAAGACAGCACTAGCTGCTATATTACCACTGTTGTCATTGTTGTTATTTTAAGAACTAAACTTTTTTGGAAAGGTAGATGTTTCTTTCCTGCTACTTTGGCTACCTATGCTATGTTCTTCTAGCTAAGCTCACTGTGTAAAGTGTCCATTCTCAGGGACTTTTTTTTTTAAATTTATGTTTAGAGGGGAAGGGAAGGAGAGAAGGAGATAAATATCAATGTATGGTTGCCTCTCATGTGCCCCCTGTTGGGAACTGGCCTGCAACCCAGGGATGTGTCCCGACTGGGAATCGAACCGTGATCCCTTAGTTCACAGGCCTGCGCTCAATCCACTGAGCTACACCAGCCAGGGTGGGACTTTTCTCTAGTCGCTCAGCTTTCACAGGGTTAATAGCACTTGTCACCTCTACAGATGACAGTGAGTACAGGAATCAGTTTTACAGGAAGTAGTAAACATGTTATCTGACTCAGGCTATATTTAACATCCTCTTAATAGGCATAAGCTTTTCTAGACATTTCTGTAAGTTCTAGGAAGTGGCATTTTAGAAAATTATTTATTATATGGTTTTGAGGGGTATTAGTTTAGGTATGAATCTTGGAACTCACATGATGGTTCTCTGCATGAGATGAAGTTGGAAGCTTCGCTGGGTTCACTGTTACCAGCAGCATTGACCGCAGTCACCCGGAACTGGTAATCACAGCCTTCCATCAGGCCAGTCACCTTCAGCCTGGTATCGTACACCACGTAGTCTCTGTTGACACGTGTCCAACGCAAGCTCTTCTTCTCACGCTTGTCCACTAGGTAGTTGCTGATCTCATTGCCACCGTCAGATTCGGGTTTTAGCCACTGAATGATGATGTGCTCTTTGCCAGCCCCAACTTCTTCAGGTATGCCAGGTTGTGATGGAATAGCTGTTTAAATTTTTATGAAAATTAGGATAATCAGAATTGCCCCAGTCACTGTTGATATGACTGCCTTCCTCTCCCCCTGATCCCATTACATTTCAACTACCAAGTTGTTTACAAGTGTTAATACTCACTGAATGAGTTTCTGGCTACGATTGGCTGTGATTCAGCAGGCACACCAGGGCCATATTTGTTGACTGCCCGCACTCGGAAGATGTA